CAGGCAACCATGGGGAATACAACCTTGCCTTATTTTCTCTGTGGCAATTTCCTAACAAGCATATGTCTGACTTCATTGTCACTCAATGTGCTGACACAACTAGACAGATTTTCAAGCTATGCATCATCTGATCCAAAATAATATACATCAAAAGTTTGCTCAATTTCATATGTTTGTCGCAAAGGCTTTTAGACATCTAAATACATCAAGATGTTCTTTCTGCACAGAAGTTTCTGAAAAAAAAGGAGATTAGCCAAAGCACATCACCCATGAGAACTTCTAATAATTAAAAAAGAAAATTAACAGCAAACTGTGAGTCCATAAGGCAGCTCCAGCCGTGACTGAACATGAGCAGTAGTCAAAGATTGACTGTTTTGTGAAGTGCAGACTGAGATCACTTGGTTGGAGGTGCTCGCAGTGCAGCTTCTGTAATGATATGATAAAAGTAATTTTCTGCTAAATTTCCACATGCTTCTTGATATGATGAACTGACCTCTCACCAGAAAAAATTGAACGAACCGGTATGGGTGCCAATTTCAATGAATAGAGAAGAAGTAAACAGTTCACAGCAATGCAATGACAACTTGCTTCAGAATAAGGTGGCACGAAATTACCAAAACTTTTGACTTCAAAGTATCTTTGTCAGTGCCTTTCATCATTCGGTCATTATCCTTGTGCGTTGGACCATTTGCATGCAGGAACAGCTATATCTTCAACCAAGTCTAACCGACACATTCCAAGTTGCAAAAATTGTTTATCGGCAGACCAAAACAAAAGTACTTCCCCAAGATCACAGAATGGCTAGAGATATTTCCTTAACCCCCTGGTTTTATTCCTTTTTACCGTTTGTTTCTTTTTGTTGTTTGTACAAACTACTTCCATATATTAGTATAATCAGTAGGGGCAGGGCATCCCACCAGTTTCATTCAAAAAAAGTGGCACGATATATCAACAAACTTGGCAGCAAACCGGAAGATACACAGGAGCACAGCTACAAAATGCCAATAAATTTTGTTATGACTTATGAGTGTCCCAAACGGCCAACAAACCAAGTTGACTATAAGGGGATTGGGTGGCAGTGACTGATATTTAGCGGGGTTTTGGAGAATTCCCAGATTTCTGCTGTCGACATTCTAAGCCACAATTTCCCTTATCACCTTTCCTCCCGACCCGTGATTCAGTAATCCCACAAAACGCAAATGTAACTAAGGCTGCCATCGCTTCCAAATATCATAACTACAGCAGCTACCATGTCTCGTCGGAGAATTCAAAGTAAATCGGAGATCTCTACAGGGCATGCATATACTGCAAGCCAGGCCACACGGGTTTGCTAATCAACATACCCACGAATTTGGAGTTCCAGAAGACAGATTCAAATGCCCTAAACTACTACGTGGAGTCTAATTAAATCTGGACTCAGACACGAGAGGAGCTACAATTACAAGAGCCGAGGGCAAAGGCGATTTGGGGATTGCCGGATTCTTTCCCTCGGGTTACCTGGAATCGGGTCGCAGGAGAGGCTGCGCGTCTGGCCGGTGATGAAGGCGAGGCGATCCGATCCCCTTTCCACCAGCCGCCGCCGCCGCGTGCCCGCGCCCTTCTCCATCACCACCCCCTCCTCCGCGCCGGCACGCCCAGGCCACTACTTCCCCTTTGTCTCGACGCCGCCCCCCACCACCTGGCCACCTCTCCTCCTTTTCCTCTTCTCTGCCTAGCTTTCTTTTTTATTTTCTTGCTTATTCTTTTCTTTGTTTGCTTGGAGAGTTAAAAAAAAAAAAAGGTGAGACGAGATGGCTAGATTCTTCTCGCGTTCTCGGAGGCCTGCGAGAGTTTATAACGGGCTAGGCTTCTACAGCCCATGAATATGTTATGACGGGCTAGGCTTCTAAAGCCCAGAATATGTTGGCCCCATATAAGCCCGTGAAATAAGGATGCCGACGGGCGAACAGTGAAGCCGCTTAGAATTTCCACGAGAATTTCTTTAAAAAAAAAGAAAAGAATTTCCACGACAAACTTGTGCGCGACATTGCTGCGCTGGCCCGGGCGCCGGGTGAAAAACTTTTTTTTTTGAGGGGCCAGATGAAGAACTCATAGTCCAAAATACGAGACCCATTTCTCATTTGAGTACCGCTACAGGCAAAGGGTTCCATATCTATTTTTTATTTTTCTCCAATAGCATGACCCAAAAGAGAACTCTTTATGCAAAATGAGTCTCCAGAAGAGATGATACTCATATTTAGGTTGTGTCTCTGCTGCAACCCAAAATAGATCTCGCATATAGGTACTCTACTGAAGTCTGATATACCATCCAAGACCCATTTTGGATTTGAGTGTCCATATGGGTCATCCATTGGAGACAGTTACATGTTTATGGGTCACCTAACATAATCTGATTCGCCCAAAAAACACGATATGCCCCAACAATGCACTAAGTCGGTTTCGGGCCATGATTTTCGACTCATGATCTAAACCTAATATGAAAAAACTTGACCTTCGCATGCAAACCTATGTACAGTCGTCGTTGGCGCCACGCTCCCACCACAGGCTCTGCTTGAAGTACTTCAGCCCCTTCAAGATCATCGCCAAGATCGGAGATGTTGCCTACAAACTACAGCTGCCTCCGTCTTCCTCCATCCACCCAGTCTTCCAAATCTCGCTTTTCTGAAGTTGGCATCTGTGATAGCTCCACTAATTTCCGTAGAGCTTCCCGACCCTGGCGATGCTCTGCAGGTGCCGGAGCAAGTTCTACAACATCGCCTTCATCCCCGTTGCAATGGCTCTATACCCCAGCTCCTGATCAAGTGGTCAGGCCTCGATGAATGCCTAGCTACATGGGAAGAAGTGGTCGCCATTCAACAAAGCTTCCCCGACGCACCGGCATGGGGACATGTTGGATCTCGAGGGGGGGAAGGATGTCAGCACACCTCATGTGAGAGACCCAGAAGTCGTGACCAAGCCAAGAAGGGGAATGATGAAGAGGTCCAGGAGCATTCGCGTGGCTGGGCCAGAATGGGCCTGTAATATTTGCGCCACCCAATCCAATAGAGTGGAGGATAAGTACGAAGTCTGTAACAACTTTTGAACCGAAAACAGAATCTACCCTAAATCGGACCTCTGTTGGCCGCTACTCCTCTTCCCAGTTCTCTGTTCTTCACACCTCCACTTCCAAATCTCTGCCGCAAATTCGCGGAGATAACACTGGTATCAAATCTGTCGAGCCTTGGCGTCACGAGGGCTAGAGCCGGCGTATCACCACCATCACTTTACCCCGCTGCAGCGCTCGCGAAGGGTGATGGATCCCAACGTCCGCACAATGTTCAACGAATTGCTTAAGCGGTTCGACGACTTCGATTCCAAATGGCGACCACGAGTTGATGTGCGTGAACGAGCTTTGGGACAAGCGAGATGATTGCGTGGCGGCGTTGGAGTCGGTTGATTCCTGCTCCGGATTCGGTCCTGGGTACATGTAATTGGCTAATTGCATTTTCTCTCCTCTAGAAATTATCAATGTAAACTATGCATTGGGACTGTCCTTAAACGAGTTTATGGTTCTTAACGTCTGTAGGTACGATATATGCATCTATGAATAGTATATGGAACCTATGAGTATACGTCTATACGAAGTAGAGTTTCTTTAGATAGCGGTTCCTGCACGATTGGATATTTGGATGGTCTTGGACCACCATGAACTTAGTACTTAAGTTCGTGCCTCACGGTACGTTGTTCCAGGCCTCGCGCAATTCCTCTGGAACCAGTTGCAGCGCCCGCGGCATCGTGTGCTTACCAGGTCGTGCACTGGACTCACCGACTGCGCGTACAGTTCACTGTACGTCAGCCGTTTCAGTTCCACCCCACATCAAGTTACCTGGGAATTCAATCAAAGGCTCTGGCCACGCATAAAGGCCAGCACATGCCGCGGCTCCGTCTTTTTTCCCCGCTGCTTGATTACTGATCGTGCCGTGGCAAGCGAGTCAGTATTCATTTATGTGCCTGCACCATTCACGGACGCGATAATCCGCTCAGACCTCAGTAAAAACTCCATCCGCGGCGGCTAGAACAGCCACCGTGTATTTCGACTTAAGAAGATATTTTTTTCACGTAGATCGAGAAAACACCCAAATCCTTGTAAGCAGAGCACTAGAGTAGGGATTAACAACGGGGTCGCCGTTTGATTCAGTGGGGGGCGTTGGCACGTCAGGTCTCAGGTTCAGATACATGCACGATGACGCTTGTGTCTGCTGCTTTTTGTGTTCAGTTCAGTACCAGTCGATCGGCACGTAGTTCTCCAGTGCGTAGGAATACTGTGCGAACAGTAGCTGGGAGAGTGATGTGAGATGTTATGAGATCCTGTCAGTCGTTTTAGAGCCCCGTGTATGTATAGATGAGCTGCGAATCTAGCTGGCATGCATTTTTCGCTCATCAAGACAAGATCGAAACGGGGTTAGTAGGCCCTAATGGTTGCAAGGAGAAGCGTGGAAAAACTTCTTGGATTAGCCTGCATAGTTTTCCTTACTTATGTCCCTCTCAATCAAGCACTCTTGGTTGCTTTGAGCTGCTAGCGAACTCGTGTGCTGGCTGATTCAGAAACAGAGTAGCGGCCTCTGGCCTCTGCAATATCTAGACTTGGAGGGAATTGAGCATGGTTTAAATGTGGCTGCCTTGTATTAAAGGAAACCAGCTCCTCCTATCATCCCCTTCCTCAACCTCCCTCATCATTATATAACACAAGGATCAGAGCTGCTTGACAAACACTCACACCTAGCAAACAGCTGCACGCAACCAGGTGGAGAGCTCCAAGCCACCAGCATGGCCTACTGATCGCTCTCTGCTCACATCGTTCAAACTTCGTCCAAGGTAATGCCTAACGCATGTTGTTCCGTTCAAATGTACTGTAGCATGGGACGTGTGAGTTGTATGTGACGCTAATGAACATCGTGTAAACCGTGCGTCTCAGCGATCGGAACCCTGTGCGGCGGCGGGTCGCCGGCGGTACGGTGACGATGAGCAGGAACAACGGCAAGGCGTCGAAGCTGGAATTCCTGAGGATGGGCCTGTCGAGGGCGAGGGGCGGGTCTTCGACGACGGCGCGGCCTGGCGGGGAGAGCCGGAACAACGGCAGCACGACGTCGCCGCGCCGGGTGTCTTCCTCGTCCTCGTCCACCGCGTCGCCGCCGAGCTCGTGCGTGTCATCCGAGGGCAGCCCAGACGCGGCTGCGGCCGCGCCGCCAGTCGTCGGCGGCGCGGCGCCCATGGTCCTGGCCGGGTGCCCCCGGTGCATGATGTACGTGATGCTGTCCCGGGAGGACCCCAGGTGCCCCCGGTGCCACAACGCCGTGCTGCTCGACTTCAACGACGGCGACCAGCGCCGCCCGCGTCAGCGCCGGTGAAACCACTGCACCCCACGCGCGATCCAGCTGATCTATCGGATTCGAATAGGCTGCTGCTGAGCTGAATTCGTTGTTGCCTTCAAGTCGTCGTCGTCGTCGTAGCTTAATTTCCCATTCGCGATCGAGTTTTGTTTCGATTACCAAAGGAATTATTGCATAGACCTGTTCCTTCCGAGCGGCATGGTGTCAAAGGGATCGGTCTAGGTAATAATTTCATGCTTTGTTAGACACAATAATAATACTCGCGCTGTGCTAGTATTCCTTATGATAATCTTGTGCACAAGTCTATTCTGATGAGCATTGTTCTATTTTAATTGAAGTAAGTAATTACGCTCTTGTCCTACCACATCGACATCGATCTTTGCTCATAGTACCGCATGGTGCATAAATATGCTGCAGCCGCATGCAATGCGATTGATGAAATGCATGTGCTTTGTGGTGCAGTAGTGTAATAAGTGTTACCATGACAAAGCTGACACTGCATATGCACTTATGCAGCATGCGGATGGATCTGAAAGGAATATGGGTAACTTCGATATGTTCAGAGAGGTCCAGTATGATCGCCGATGCAAAAATCTCTCCTGGGGCGAAACCCAGTAACGAAAATCCACGAAGCAGTCAAAATGTAGATCGGTTATCTTGTTCAGTTCACTGCTTGCATTGTGTGAGAGGTGATAGCTGAACTCCATGGAATTAGTCTCATATGCGAACTAAAGTACTGGATTCAATACAATCATTCAAACCGATAAACTTGTAAACACAAATTGAGGATCGTAGGTCCATTGGTTAGGTTTTTTTTTTTTTGTGGAACTTAGGCTTAGCACCTGTTTTCCTATATTTTTCTCAGGAATCAGCAACAGCAACGATATTAATTTAGTGGCAGTCACATTAACATAGGGCGTATGCATGTACGTTTGCATGAATAGTGTACGTGATTGTTTATGTGTGTGTTTTTGCACGTATTGTATTTTGAAAAAAAAAATTGTTAGCACATGTTTTGTAAAAAGGAACTTGTGAACGTGCTGTACAAAGGCCATACTTGTGCGGCCAATCATGTGAAGTCATGAACAATGCTTAGCAGGTGTACAGTTCGTTGGCTGATGGACGATGTGACTCCGCGGCACCTTCAGTCCTCCGAAACTGTCTTAGGCTGTGTGTTTAGGCCCGGTTTAGATTCCAAAAAATTTTACGTAAATTTTAGTATCCGTCACATCGAATTTTGCGGCACATGTATGGAGTACTAAATGTAGACGAAAAAAAAACTAATTACACAGTTGGGTGAGAAATCGTGAGACGAAACTTTTGAACCTAATTAGTCCATAATTAGACACTAATTGCCAAATACAAACGAAAGTGCTACAGTAGCCAAAATCCAAAAAAAATTGGATCTAAACGGGGCCTTAGTTCAAAAAGTGTTATAGTAGCCATCACATCGAATCTTGCGATACGTGCATGGAGCATTAAATGTAGACGAAAAAAAACTAATTGCACAGTTTGGTTGGAAATCGCGAGAGGAACGTTTTGAGCCTAATTAGTCCATGATTGAACACTAATTGTCAAATAAAAACAAAAGTGCTACAGTAGCTAAATTCTCAAATTTCACAAACTAAACACATCCTTATATATACTCAACTCAAATAGTACTAGCATAGTGTTTTTTTTGTCCTTTAAAAGGTTTATGATTTTTATACCTTATCTACCTAGAGGATAAAAAAACAACAAAACTATAAAAGTATAATCACTTAGTCCAGAAGTACAATAATTTTTTTCTTAGTTATGCAAAAGGTTTATGTGTCTTTGTATTAAGATAGATAAAAATTTAATACAACATGCCTTAATGGCGCCCTAGAAGGTCAGAAGAGTTGTATATGGACGCTTGACCCTTCTTAGTGTACAATAATTTTTGAGTTTTGTCTTAAGTTTAACCAAGTTTATTGGAAGAACTATTAATATCTACAATATCAAAGAAGTAAACTATGCAAATATAGTTCGTAATGGATCCAATGATACTCATTTAATGTTGTAAGCATTATTGTTATTTATTAGAAACTTAGTAAAAGTTCAGGTAATTTAACCTTTGGCAAACTTAGAGATCTATATATTTTGGGACGGGGAAGATACCGTTAAAGATGTACCGGTATGATAGTGTTATACTAATACATTGTACATTCTTTAATCCAAAAGGTTGGAATCATGCATGAGGCCGGTTCTCTTTGCTTAAAAGAAAGCGAAAAAAAACCCTTTGAGACTGTCAACTACTCCATTATGAGTATTGAGTAACTTGCAAGGTTGCGACATGTAACCCTCTGGATGACGAATGCAGTGAGTTCCTGCTGCAGTCCAAAATGAAACAACGAGAGCAGTAAAACAGAGAATCGTCCTATTCGCTTATGTTGAAATTTAACTTATGTTAATGTTTATGCTGAAATATTGTGAGAGAAAAATACTGTTCCATATCTAAAAAGTAGCTCAAGCAAACAGGGTGAATGACTTTGCAAGCTGATCCTGATAGCGAGGAGAAGCAAGTATCTTGGATTTGAGAAGAGGAAACATCAGCCGAGGTCAGCCCCGGGCAGGTGGCCAGCTGGTTCCTTGTGTCCCGAAAGTGATTCGCCTCCGTGCGAGCGCGACAGTGAGAAGGAAAACCTCGAATCAGAAGTGCCGAGAAGGGAGATGCTGGGTGGTTAGGGTCATTGAAAGGGAGGCCTATTGCCGATTAATTCGCTTTTAATCCGTATAAATGCCCGAGTAACTGGAGACAGTTGTGCTGCTGCCACAAGGGGGATGGGGGCGGTGTCAGCCGGGCGATTAAATCCCCCAACCCTTTCGCTTCAATGCCCCGCCCCTGCTGCCGCAATTGGCAGCACACCAACGCACAGCGCAGCTGCTCCCCCCGGCCCGCTTCCCTCTCTACTCGGCACATCAGCGGTGGCCGGCCGGTGGTGGCCTTCTTTTCTTCTGCTGCTGCTGGCTTTGATCTCTCTCTAATGGCCATCATGCTCCGCGCCTGCACCACACGGAATTATTAAGGCCCGTCGTCCTTCGCCAAACAATTTGGCACTGGAAGCGGTACCGCATAGTACCCGCTGTACTTGCCGACACTGTCCGGCCCCTGGAATGGCCAAGATCCCGTCGAAATCACTTGCGTCCAAAGACACGGCACGGCACAGCTGGATATCGTCGTAGCAGCGCACTGTCGCATTGATTCATGGTACTCGTAGTAGTAGGATTGTTTCATTTCAGAGAGCGAGCGGTTCAGTGGTATCGGTTCACTCCCCCACCCGTCTGAAAATGACCCAACGAACAAACACCTCCCTCCCAACGCATTGTCCATGGCCGCAGCATCGCATGGTCAGGGTTCAGGTGTGCTCTGTGCATGCAGCTGCAACAAGCATGGGAGTACATTACATGCATCGTCAAGCTTGCTAGCTAGGCGCGTAAGTAAAGCGCAGTGACGACGGACTGACGGAGCGCCAACCACTCGGGTCATCCTTTAAATCCGCTTCCTAAAATTTCAGCTGCTGAGCCCTTGGTGATTAAAGAAAGGCTTCAATGCCGTATAGTGCCTAGAGAAAACGATGATTTAGTGCTCATGAATGGCGGTTGTTGCATGGCGCCAGGCGTTACAGCTTACAGGCCCATATGAATTTGATTTGATGACCTGTTCCAGGGTTCCAGTTTTGGTATTCGCCTCGGCTGGCCACCCCCCATGTCCCGTATGCTTGCTGATGGAGCCCTGGAGGGTGCAGCTGTCATTGTGCGTACTCTCAGAACACATTTCGTTTGGCTTCGTGTGCATTGTCAGTAAATAATCATAAATTTCTAAATTTGGAACAATATTTTTTCTCACACACGAACCCAGCCAAGTGAATACTTCTTCTTCACGAACCAAATGAACGAACGTAACCAACCATAACGAGCAGTCATCCATCGAGTTAGGCCTTGTTTAGTTGGCGATTTTTTTGGAAAATGGTACTATAGCACTTTCGTTGTTTTTTGATAATTAACGTCCAATCATAGTCTAATTAGGCTTAAAAGATTCGTCTCGTGAATTTCGTCTAAACTGTGTAATTAGTTTTATTTTTTATTTATATTTAATGCTTCATACATGCGTCCAAATATTCGATGTGACGAAGAATCTTGAAAAATTTTGCAAAATTTTAGAAACTAAACAGCACTTAGTAGGTTACCACCTGCACTGCTTCTCCGGTCGTTGAAAAAAGAAACAAAGAAAGAAAAAAGCAAACACATACTACTTCTTCTAATTACTAGTTTTTTTTAGCAACACTTCTTCTAATTAGTAGGAGAAACAGTGTATCTGAAAGTGCACAAAGGCCCGGCCCAGCCCCGGAACTGATAGATCCAGGCCGTGTTGCTCCCTCAATTCTTCTGCCAACAGCCCAACAACCGCCGAGCGGGCCGCGCACGTCGCCCCGCGTCCGGCTGCCGGTCCTCTTCCCGCGCACTCCGGCGACTCCAGTTTCCGGTGGTGCGGCACCGTGCGCCCGCGCAGGTGCAGGCGTGCAGCAAAGATCGACAAGGATATTTACACTGGGCGAGAGACGCCAATTCGGTGGGCACGCTGGGAAAGTGGGAATATGTTCCAAACCATTAGCCGCCGATTCCAGCGAATGAATAGGGCAACAGGCTAGAGGAGAGGACCACCAGAGGCGAGCTGATGAAGAAGCTGGTGTGCTACGGGCATGGCAGAAGATGAGAAGAGATAAGCAAAGCTGGACTGGACATACCATACCATGATGCTAGAGCCTAGATGGCAGATCGAAGCAGAACGGTGGATGGGCCTGTTTGGACCGCGTTAGCGCTCCAGGTCCACTTCGGCTCATGCTAAAAGCCTGTCTGGAGTCGCCGTGCGGTTATTATCATGGATCACCTGAAACCTTCCTCCATGCCCATACTACATCATAGCAAACCGCCAACGTTGCCTAGTCAGGCAGCCTAGAGGAGCAAACCGCCAACTTGGACCAAAACGAGAGTTGAGT